CTCCAACAGGAAGGTTTGTGTAGACAAGCAATGAGAGCGTGAATAAAATAATAAGGCTACATCATATTCATCATATCAGAGACAGACAACACATCTGATTTGCAAGAAAAGTACAGTCCTCATCCTGCATATCAGTCTAACTCCTTTTCTTTTTTGGCTGGCTGTCTCTGAGCATGTGTGTTCAAATGTTTTATAAATCAACTGAGTGAAAGTCAACAGAGGATGAAAGTGACTCTGAAAATGATCCAACTGCTCTAAGTGCATATCTGCATGTGTGGGACAGTGAGAGCGAACACACGAGAGAGATTTATGAAGAAGTGAGGTCAAATAACTGCTCCCTAATAATAAATCACACACACAGAGCCACCTACCATCCCACATACGGCCCCCCACACACATATCCACCTATGTGTTGACATAGTTTCCATGGTGAAGGGAAGGTGCTGGTGATTCATTGCTGCGTTCCTGAACGCTCTCTCTCTCTCACACACACACACACACATTAACATTTACTCGGGGGGGGGGTCAGTTAAAACGCTCCCGGTCCAATATTTTTACAATAATTTATATAATAAAAAACAGCTGAGGTTGTCAGTGTCCTGTACATACAACGTGCTCTTAACATGTGATCCAGTCTGTTCTTCACTTCTTATTGCTTGTCATCGGGTGTGTTGCTTCAGGCCAAGGAGACCAGTTTATCTTACTGGTGTAAAATACTTTAAAGTAATACCAGCAACCAAGCTGTATGGCCAGACTGAGCTATGTTTTCTCCCACACAGGAATAAAGTCAGTGTGAAGGGGCCGGTGCCCTGAAAACACATCAGCCTGATATGTTGGACCAACTTTTTTAAAATCATGTTTTCTGCAACCAGCTGTGAAACAATGGTCACTAACAGTGTCACAAAGATCATAGTTTGAGACATTGTGTCCGAACAGTGTGTTGCATTAGTTTGGTAAAGAAACAGCCAGTACTAAATGAAATAAAGCTAAAATGTGGCTCAGGTTTCAAATAGGGATTGGGACACAGAACTAGTTCATCTGGTTCCTTCTGGTTGGTTTCAGATCTCACTTTTATGCCTATAGAAACTTTAAATTCATGACAATGGGATGAATGCTTGAGCAAAGGTCATCAGGCCAGGGACTAGAGGCCCTCTTTTCCAGCATGAGTAACTTAAGTGTTGCTGCTATAAACACACAAATACTCGCCAGTTTGAACTCTTTAAGCAATAATCCAAGGCAAAGCCATGTGCTTTGGTCTTAACCTGTATAAATATTTAGTATATTATCCCTGATGCTTCACAACAGTTCCACACAACTTGGAGCTACTGTGGAGTATTGTGGGTAAACAGTGGGTAACAGACTAGACAGAGCAGTCGCCCTGTGGGGGACAGATGAGATGAGAGCTGGTGTGAGGAATCACAGGGTCAGTTTCACCTCTCCATCCCACAAAGCTGGAAGTTAATTGAAGTGAGCCTCCTGCTGCTGGCGATGAGTGACTCGGCTACGTCGACACAGCCGGTGAGCCCTCACCCTGTGCTGAGCCCTCAGCTCGGACAGCCTGCATCAGCGCTGGAAAGACAAGCTTAGAGGGTTTTAAGAGTTTGTATGCATCCACCATTATGTAGTATTACTGTACAGTAGACTCACCAAAGCAAGTACTGGAGGACTACACGCACCTCTGTATGATGTTATGCCTGCGGTCGTCTCCTTCTGGAGATTCAGCTCTCTCCAGCTCACAATAACCCGTTTAGTCACTAGCACACTTATTTCTTGACAAAGTTTAAAAGTACATTAATGATTCCTGATGCTGTTCTCCATCTTAAAAGTCTCTGGTCAAATATACAGAATTATCAGCGCAGTGTTTTGCAGCGATTCCTCGTAACATCATCGGTTTTTACAGATCCCAGGGGTTTCCCAGGAAACAGGAGCAAATTTTGGTGACAATTCCTGGGAAATCAGCAGCTCATTTGCATTTTCTTTTTAATTACTACCGAGATGGGTTTTTGAGCCTCAACAACAGGAAATGTCTCAGTGGCAGGGGGGACATAAAATCACAGTGAAAATCAGTTAAATAAACAGATTTTTATCCAATTCAAATATATTCTGATGACAAACATTTTTATTAAGAGAAAAATCCATCAAAATACTGGCATTAACTGGTGAGGTGGAGCTGAGGCTATTGGAGCTGTTGTAAACATCAGCAATGATGACAATGAGGATGAGAGAAGGCGTCGCCTCGGGTGGACTCTGGGAGAAGAGCCTGCTCACTTCCCTCTGTGCACTGCTCAAATTTTCTGTCTGAACTTTTTATGTGGAGCAACCCTCAAGCTGTGACATGTTCAAGTCAGAGCAGGGTGCATCACCACCAAATGTTCTATCTCCAGAGCAGCAGAAGTGTAAAAAAAAAAAAAAAAAAAAAAAAAGAAAGAGAAAAACCTATTGTGACCAGCCAAAAAGGGGGTAATGATTTAATTTTATTAATTTCTGAGCACACACACACACACACACACACACAGTTGAGTCAGTTAAGGAAGACAATGGTTTAGGCTTTGACAAGGCCACATTACCAAGTGATCCATGAGAGGCATAAATACAAACATGCAGGGACAAGACAACCGGGTCAAATGGACCCCGAGGGAGAATGAGCTAGAAAGTTATAAAAGACACAGATAGATCCAGAGCTAATTGACACTGGATCTTTTTTTTCCTCTCATTTTTGTCTCCTGTGGAGACGGGAGAAAGTGCTGGGAAATGAGGAAGAGAGAGAGCTGGATTGAGAGACTGTTGTTAGAGGTGCAAAAATCAAGATCCTGGAGGTCCACTGGGGTTTCAACTCATCTGCATTTCTAATCAAGAGTGAGCACGAGAGAGGGATAGAGATCAGTGTGATGAGGGCAAGTGGAGAGAGATGCTATTAATGAGACGTAGTCAGGAATATGGAAGAGAAGTGGAGCAAACAGCTGAGAGATGCAGTGAGACAGAGCTAGAGAAAAAAACTGAACAGATAAATAGATAGAGACACAATAAGAAACACATGACGGGAAGAGGAAGAGATACGGCTGTAGTCCAGTGTTGAATTATAAAACACTTATGCTGCTAGATGTTTTTGATCTTCTAGATGTTTAGAAGCACAAAAAAACCTGACTGATGGCTTGCCCACAGACAAAAAGGAGACCCAAACTCGTCTACATTGGTCACAAGTCCCCGAGCAGGAACTCTGATCACAACCACAACAAAAATCCAGCAGCCACATTTCAAGAATTGAGAACAGATGCGGGGCAGCCAGGGCTTCCACCACAACTTAACTACTGGTTTATTCAGACAATAGATCTGATTTGCCAGCTGCAACATGTAATGCAAACACACGGTGGGAAATATAGCTATTCCTCTCTTTCTAGGTGAATCCCAGTTATACTAACTGGATCCAGGTCTCTCCCACTTCTTAAATCTTAGTCCCACCCACATGAGATGCAAGGAGAAACCGAGAAGTGATGAACTGAGAAAACATGTTTTAACTGACACGAGACATCCTTTTCTCTGATCCTCCAATCACAAACTGACTTCTGACAAAGGGGCCTGTCAGTTTATGACAGACTTCCGCGAAGGATGCACTTTTGTCCTCCAGGCAGCCTCCTCGCTCCTCAGAGCAGAAATAAACGTTCTGGGACATCCTTCATCATGGCGGACTGGAATATCTGGGTTGAGCAAGGACCAAGGAACGATAAGGGAATTGGGATTCACCTTCTGTGAGTGAGATGACTGGACCGATATTCACCTCCTTTGTGTGTGTGTTAAGTCTAGTTTGTCTCAACAGTACTAGTCACTGAGCCTTTAAGGTTAAGCAGCACATACCGTATTCCTGGCATAAAATCAAACAATGCAACTCATCACTGGCAAAAATTAAAACACAAAATCATGTGCAAAGTAAACACAGCTTACAAATCTATTTATTTAAAAAACATCATTGAATGCAGTAAAATGACAAAATAAAAAGACAGCCTTGCAGTGACATGTGTACTGATGCTACTTTGTGTGTGCACATTTAGCATGGAGCCCTATTCATTCACCTCTGTGCTCAAGTACTGTGTGAATGTGTGTTAATGATGTGTTGAATAACGGCACTATCACAGAGAGGCACACACATCTGTGGAGTGGGAGACTTAATGGAAGATTCTGAGGCGACTGTGCTCATCAATCAAGCCAAAACACACACGCATCAATATTTCTCAGATTTCACTAAACAGAGGAGTATGCTTTCAGCTAATTGCATTCAGACCACATTTTTGGCAATATGAAAGATGAAAACTGTCCTATTGCTCATCAAGTTTGGATAGTTGCTTAAAATACCTTTTAAAAGCATTTAAAACACAACTGAAGTCAGCCTGGTGCATCTTATTACAAACCAAACAGGTCTGCTTGGCTCCTGCTGGGTTTGGACAGAAACATCTCCACTTTGCGTGTGGTGTTGCTGGAGTTGTGAGTGTGCGTTCACACAGTAGTTAACATAACACCGTCAACGCAAGTTCATTCACTTGCTATAACACCACCATGGAGACACAACAGATGTCAGCTGATCCGAGCTGGGCACAGCAGACTTTCTTACCCCGCTTGTTATGGCAGATTTGTCTTTGCTTGTTGTGCAGTTTTATTTGACGATGTTTCTATGAGAGACAAAAATGATTTGAAAAAGGGCTGCACCCAGCTGAAATCTCGGAAACCACTTTACTGAACTGGTCACTTCTCTAGCGACAAGAAGAATCAAACATTTTGAAAAATGTGTTTGTTTGCCAGAATTAGGCCTGAGGTGTGATTGGTACGACAACTGGAAACAGGGGGTAACTGCTAGCCTATAATGAATACATAGTGCCAGACACATTTATGTTGGTTATGTAGAATGGGTGAAAATGGTCGTCTTGCTATTAAATCAGTGACTCAAAGAGGCATCCATATACTGGGTGGTTGGAGGTACAGGTGATAAGTTCTTCTCTTAAGTCTCTTTGTTTCAAGGCTAGCAGACCCTCTCTGCTTCCACTTTGTGTTACATATGGAGCTGGATTCAGGATGTGGTTAGCCCTGGAAGCAGGAGAATAGCCAGCACAGTTCTCCTTAAAGTAAAGAAAAACTACACACCAGCACATCTAAGGCTCATTAGTTAGCACAATGCATCTCATTTTTTTAAACCTCTGCATGAACAGAAAAAGAGAATTTGTGGCTCCAGGAGGGGTTCAATTTATCAACCTGTGCAGCCAAGACATTATATAACTCAGCAAAACAATCACAAATTTTCATGCTTTGTTTTAATGTAAATCAAACAAAAGAGATGCACAGTAATTAGTGAGCTTTAGAGCTGTTCGTATGCACATTTCCACTATGGGCAGAGCCATGCTAACATTTCCCCCTGTTTCCAGTCTTAATGCTAAGCTAAGTCTTGCACCTGAGCACCTCCTGACTCCAGTTCTGGAGGAAAAAAGCAAACAAGCATGTTCCCCAGAATGCTGACTTATTCCTTTAAAAAGCAGAATCTGAGAAACATGCAGGATTTTCCTGTTCAACATTTTGCAGATGCAAACCATGAAAGTAACTGAGTGTCTTGCACCACCCACACACAGTTAAAACAGTCATGCTGCTCGCAGTGTGAACACATTAATCAGCTGAGTGACAGCTAACTTTCAAAATCTGCAGGACTTCAATGTCGTCAAACTGTAACCCTGGAAAAAACACTTGTGAATGACATCAATCTGTCATTATAAAACAATACATGCAATTCTGTCTCACACTATAGCACAGCACTCGCACAGTGTACAAAGCACACACGAGACTCAGGCAACATCTGGACACGGCTGAATATCTAGAAAAGAAGAGTGCTTGTTGTCACCACTTTTCAGTGACTGTTCAAGTGTTGATATAGAAAAAAAAAATGAACCAAGCACACCTCTGTTGGTTCAAATATTGGCACCAGATACAGTAGATCTCACACACAAACACACAGACTGCATATCTCCTTGTAAAGCTTCAAAAGGTCTCTCATTTTAAAATCTCATAATTTTGAAAAAACTAGAGTTGAGAATAAAGGTATATATTGTCCTTTTGATAAGGTAGGAATACTCTGGCCTGGTAGTTCTAGTGCAGTACAAGCACATGGAGCACTTTGTTTACTAGGACGTCCGCTGCCCGAACCAACATGTTTACTCCATGACATTAAATAAGGCTCAGGCTGCTGAAACCATCACCCTCTGCACACACAGAACAGCTTTAGCAGATGTTGTCCATGTGACATAAAGATGCTAAAAACCCTGTGCAGATACAAGGTTCAACCAAACAAGTGAAATGAATCGTTACTATCTTCCCTCAAAAAACAACTAGAGCGAGGAACGCTGGTGTGCCGTCACCAGCAGGAACACAGAGCGGTCATAAAAAAGTTTAGTGTAGTTCAGCCTGAGCATGTCATTTGCTATCCCCAGTGGTTACAGAAGCAGCAGATCTGTTTAGTGATTATTCCCGAAGTTGGCAGTGATGTCTCAGAGGCCTCCTCTTCCTCAAAAATTACACTCTGGATTCGTCATTTTCCCGTAGCGCTATGGTTTTAACAGGGAGTGTATGTGTATATATCTGTGTAAAAATCACTGGAAGCGCCACAGATTTAATTAGATCTTCATAGAAAAAGATGTCTCAAAGGCTATTTTCCCCATTGGTGCTCATCCCCTGCACCTCCACTGCAGAGCTGAAAGATCCTGAGCACCTTGTAAAGCACTGAGATTGGTCAATCAGGCTTCAGTTTCCAGAGCGATGTGTCATTTTACTCCCAACGTCCGTCGCCTGGAAACAACTGGGTGTCCCAGAAATCGTCTATGTGCGTGTGTCTGTTGTGTGTGTGGTGTTTCTTGTGAGCGCTGCAGTATGTGGGTGCGGGGGAAAGTGTTTGTCAGTCCATCTCCAAGTCCATCAGTTTGTTGCGTGAGCGTGGAGTATGCGCAGTGTTGCGGCAGCACCACTGGGCACACACCAGACCCAGGACCAGAGAAAAGAGGCCCACACCTGGAGAGAGACACACAGAGGTTAAAACGAAGAAGACTCACACTCTACTAGTACCTGTACTGATACTACTACTAACCTTACTTGTATTGCAATCATTCCTCCCACTGCTTCTACTACTGAGCAGCTACCATGTCTACAACAGCTACATTCTACTTGTACTGTTATTATTACTTCTAAGCCTGTTTCCACCACAGGAGCCTTTTTAAAAACTCTGGAACCTCGCCGGCATTTTGACTGAAGGAACCACGGCCTCGGTTCAGTCCCTGCTCTGATGGTGTGACGTTTGGAGGGGCCAAACACTGGATGAAAACAAAGCTTGCAGCTGCTATAAACACTATTCCCACAGTATAAAAGATTGAATCATGCTAGAAGTGATTTCTTTTCCTGTGGCTCCGTACTACCTGGCAGTATTTGGTGGAAGCAGTAGTGAAATTCCTATTTCAGGGCTATTATTGCTCCTTCTTGTGCTTGTTAAAATAATCTCACTTCTTCTGACATCTTTCTCGTTTGTTTTCTAATTGCTACATCACTCTCCATTGAAAATGTACTATTAATAGCAACTAGAAATGTTTCCTGTTCATAAGAAAGTCAGTCTCAGTGCTAATTAAAGCACCCTTTATTGATTATTTTGTGGTTATTTTAAGCCTGATCACATTTTGATTCTTGTCTAATCTAAATCCAGTGTGCACTGCCAGTTGTCAGACATGTCCCAAATAAGCACCGTCAGCTAGTGAAGTGCTGAGCAAAACAAAGCATAGTAGCCATAGTCCACTGGCAGCATTTTCAGTGATGTCCACACTGACACCAGTGAGGCAAGGGAGCAGAACCTTTCTCATTTTTATCCAGTTTCTGTGACATTTTGCAGCTGCACTGTGCCTCGGTGCTGCTGCCTGTATTTAAACCTCCACATTTGAATTTGCTATCCTAAAAAACTGGCAGTAATAGTCTGCCATTCTGCATGCAAACAACAAACCAGGATAAACCACACAACCAACTATATTCAGCACTAGAAAACACTAAGTAGAATAGTATAGGAAACCACTGTAGGTAAGATTTGATATGTTGTCAGTAGTGCAGGGCAACTCAGCTAATGACTAAACTAAATTATCTAAACTGAATCAGGGATCTAGATCTATGGTGGGATGTCCTGAAAGTTTGTTAGATGAAATATAATGATACATGCACTACAATAACAAAGACTAAAGCCCAATCCCCAAAATACAACAAACAACCACTTTGATTTGAGGATGTATAAGTGATACATTACCTATTGAGGCTGATGCACCATATAAAAGAGGTAACTGCAGGGAGTCCCACACTGGAGAAGCAGACAGAGAAAGAGAGCTCAGGTGAAAAAGCAGCAGTATGAAGCATCTGCCCCAAGGCTGACACTACTTCTGTGGTAAAAAGAATCTGTCACCTACTACCTCTTCTTTTCAGTTTCATGTTTAAACATGTGCATGTTAATATAATCTCAGTGCCATGTCCACACTGATGGCACCTTTTTGTTTTGGCCTTCCTTCACACTAAGCTAACATTTTCTAATCGCTCTTTGAAGAAAAACCTAATTTCTCTGCACGAGCATGGACATGGTCATGTGTGAAATGTAATGAACACCAGCACACACTCCTCACCAGCGAATCGGACAGTAAGGAAGACTCTGGATGACGTCAGCTCTCCAGCTTGAGTCCAGGCTCCTGTTGAGGCTGACAGGTACCAAGGAGTGGCTACACAATAATACTCTCCACTGTCACTGGAGACCACAGAACACATACAAACACAGATTTAGATTTATGATACCTAGAATGAATCTTCAGGGATAAAATCATTAGCTCATAAAGTGTTTGCTAATGTTTACACACAAATACACACACTCACCTGTCTTGAGTGCAGCAGGTAGGTGTGTGTCTCTGTGCGCTGTATTGAAATTTCACTAGATGAGTTGCGGGTCTCTGTCTTCACAACACCGAAGCGGTCAGCGCTGGCCACCTGGGTGGTCGTCTGTCCACCACGCAGCCTGGTGAAAAACCAACGCACCTCGTACGCCAGGTCATCTGAGCAAGTCAGGCAGAAAAATATTAGATTAGAAACAACTCCAACTACCCTGTTTGTATAGAGACAGTCTGCTCCCAGTCTTTGTGCTAAGCTAGGCTATGCGTGTTGCATGTGCGTTGTTTTCAAAGCCAAATTTAGTTAAATGCTGAGAGTATATTAAGAGCTAGCATCACTAAGTATACTTGCATCAATTTGAAAAGGAACTAAAAGAAAAAAGGGTTCATTACATGCATATTATGATGGCTTTCTTGTTGAAACTACAGAACAAAAGAAAACCAGTAAGTCCAAAAGCTACAGAGCAACTCAACTATGACCACACCAACACACACAGGCTGGTGTTTCTCCAACAGTAAGAGGAAAGAGAAAAAAGATTGACATATGCCACAAAAAGCAGGACAGTGATGACACTAAAGAAAACAGGAGGAAAGAAGGTGTGACAAAGGTAATCTTTGTAAAGGGGGTGAGCGAGCAATTTATTTCCAAGAGCAAGACGTAAAGAGAGAGAGCGAGAGACAGAGAAGCACAAACTAGTCATTAGTCTGTCAGGGAGAGAGCAACTATTAGCTCTGTACCTCCTACACACACACACACACACACACACACACACACACACACACACACACACACACAGAGAAAGTGAAGCACAATAAAAACCACAAGGAGCCTGAGTCATTCTCTGTTATTTCAGAAACAAACAGAAGATACAGATGAAAAAATAAAGAGAACATTTGCAAATGACATTGTTGGAAAACAAGACAAATGATGATGAAAAACGATTTTGGGAGGAAAAAAACGGAGTGAGAGATGGAGGAAGGAGGAGGAAGAAACAGGAGGATGGAGTGAATATAATGAAGTGGAAGACTGAGGAGAGGAGGAGGAGTGAACTCAGCCAGAGCAGAGTAATGAATCACATCTCAATTTCTCTCTCCCTCACTTCCCTAATGGTTTGAATATTCAAGTGCCATATCATTAAAAATCAGCAGTAGTACAAGCAGCAGTAGCAGTACTGTAGCAGTAACAACGCCGTCCTTTGTTTCTGTGCATTTTGAACTACTGGCCAAACTCATTCAGCTTTGCTGTAGATATTCATGGTCTAAGAGGATGATTTTTAGCCTTCTGCTGATGTCAGCTGTCTCTAAAAACCAGACTTGGTTTTGGCTAAGGCTCCATGTGCTTCTAACCTTGGCTAGGTGGAAGGCGGGGCCAATTTACAGACCGTACTTTGACATCACAGGGCAGAGAAGCTGGAATAACCACAGAACATCTATAGGCAGCAGAGTGTCATGGAGCAGGGTATAGCGGAGAGACACCACGTCCTGTCCCCCTGTCACTGGGTTTATCAGACAACCATGGGAAATCTTAGTTAATGCACCTGTAAACACTCCATGATTTATTATAAACATCACACTATTAAGACTGCACTATTACCCATCCATCCATTATCTATACCACTTATTCCTGAACAGGGTCACAGGGGGCTGAAGCCAATCCCAGCTGACACTGGACGAGAGGAGTGGTGCACCCTGGACAGGTCGCCAGTCTGTCACAGGGCTGACAAGTAGACAACCACACACACTCACGCGCAATTTAGAGCTGCCAGTCAACCTAAGCTGCATGTCTTTGGACTGTGAGAGGAATCTGGAGTAGCCGGAGAGAACCCACGCAGGTACAAGGAGAACATACAAACTCCACACAGAAAGGCCCCGGGTCGGCCTGGGCTCCAAACCAGAACCTTCTTGCTGTGAGGTAACAGCGCTAACCACTGCTCCAACCCACTGTTATGTTAAATTCTAATTTATTTCAAGTTCAAAAATCAAACAGTATCTCAGTGCACTGTACAAAACAAAAAATACAGTCAATCAACACTGTGACACAATCACTACTCTGACCCTGATGGTCAGTCTAGAGCGGTGCAATGCATATACTCCACTGAGACCGTCTCTATCATGCGTGTGGAGAAATATAGTGAGGACGCCTCCACAAACCTAACCCACCTACAAGTCAGGTCTCCCCTCGGTGCCTGCTTCAGTAATAGAAAAACAGACTTAGAAAGTGAAGAATGGGTGTGATAAGACTGACGGTCAAAGTGACCTGATGCCCTTAATTCCTACGTGGCTCAACTGGGAGAGACGGACTCTGTCAGAATCATCACTGTGAGCATAGCACGAATCAACTCTCCACCAAATGTTAAATACCCTGCTGTGCATGTGTACAGTGGATTATTCTCACTGCTGATTAATCTGCTGATCATTATTTCAAACTAACAAACATCAAAATATAGTGAAAACAACATCTGAGGCTGGGACCAGCAAACGTTTCAGCCATTTATACAAGAATAATGACTTGACACAAACAAAGTGTTCTGTATGTCAAAATGATTCGGGTAAGAAAACCAAGCTAAGCGATAAAATTATCATCCTGTTGTAAACATCCCTCACACCCTGGCTCAACTTTGACCTGTTTTCCTGTGCGGTGATGGATTATTAGCAACATTTCAGGTGGGCTCACTTTATGATTTAAATCCAGATGAGGTGGTTTAGATAACCTTGACTCCACTTCTGCCATGTTTACAACCTGTTTGAACATTTTAGTGAGGAAAATGTTACTATAAACACAGAGAAATGAATGCCCAAGTCGCCGTCGTCGTCATCCTTTTAGCAGAAAGTATTTTTATTTTCTGCAGTGGAAGACAGAACCTCACTGCCTTTCTTTGCTGGCAAGGTTCTCTTTTCCACTTGATATTTGTTTGAACATACCTAAAATAACCAACATTACTGTAATGACAACACATTTAAATATATTTACATTTGTGAAGACAAGATGTATGAAAGCTATTTATTATGACCGTTCTCTTATATAATCACAATCACTTAAAGACTAGCTGACAGCAGGAAGATACTGTGACGCCCTGACATCCCCAGGTCGGTGTGTGACTTCGCTGTAAATGATAAAAGACATATTTTGTATAATTCCACAGGACTGACACATGAACTCCAGTTGCAAGTTTCAGCGCCGCCGCCAATACTCAAGGAACCGAGCTATAATTAGAAAGTCTCTGCTCTCTCTTCATCCTTTACCTGCTTTGTTCTTGACGGCAGAGTGGACGGAGAATGAGGAGGGAGGGAAGAGGATTTGAAACGCTTAGTGACTGAGGAGATTATTTTGCTTATCACAGGGCCATAAATCAACAGCGAGAGACACTCAGAACACATCTCAAGCCGTGTCTCTGGAGAGCACGTGGACTCACCCCTCCTCATGGGAGGTGCTGGAAGAGTATATGATCCTCCAGCAGCAGGGTGACGCACAGCTTCCTGCTCACAGCTGTTCCTCTGCTGAAGGCAGACTCTTGCTGTCCTCCCATAAAGACCTGTCTGCCCCCCTAAATGAACTCATGAACTCACTGACTCCCAATGCAACATTCACTTGATTGACTAAGGCCGTTTACGCTGCCTTACTGCACAATTAACAGCGAGTAAAGTGAACAAATTAAAAAGTGTGCATCTACATAAGGAGGTGAATAGTGCAACAGGCATTTCCATGTAAACAGATTAATGCACTTAAAGAGTGACTGAACAGACTGAAAAAATGTGATAATAGGATTGTTAGGTTTCTCAATAAACACAAAACCTTTCAAAATGTTACGAACGAGACATCTTTGGTAGATAAATGTGGGACAACTTGGACACAACCAACAAATATTTGGTGTACAATAAGACGCCTAACATATGGCTTCAATATGCTTAAAAAAACAAAATGCTTGTTGGATCGTCGAACAGGCTCACATTATTCATTCCTCACAACTACCTCTGTCACTTTTCATGTGTTCACCTGAGTGCAACACAAAAAACACCTTTCAGGAGAGACAGACACACAACAGAGTTGTTGAAGAGAGACAGGGGACACACTGGGTAGCTTTCCAAGTGTGGCCATTCACACCAGCTACGTGCCAGTGGTGAAAGTATTTATTTTATTAACCTCTTTCTGTTATATAAATGTAGTGAGCACAAAGTATAGTAGGAGAAAATGAAAATACAAAGTACAGATACTTCAAAACTGTACTTAAGTACAGTACCCGAGTAAATATACTTAATTACTTTCCACTTCTGCTACATACAAACACTTGAACATGTCAGTACTTGTTAGTAGGATCCCTGTTGCTTTTGGTGTTTGTTGGCAATAAGGGATATAAAGAACATCTTTATATATCAAGTTTCTAACAATTTGATCAAACAGCAGAGTTATGTTAGTTGACAGTAAGAAAATTAGCTGTCAAGGTTTTGCTGGGAGTAATGAGCTGAGGCATCAGTGGACAAACTGTCAGAACGTCACTCCCACGTTAGCGTCGTTCCTAATAACACTGTTTTATCATCGATATGCAGGAGGGGAGGGACGGTGCACTGTGGTGACTGGATGGTAGAAGAGGAGCTACAGTGCATCTCTAACAGAATATCTGGTTTCTGATAAAACTAAGCTAATAAAACTAAAATGGCTGTCTGTGGAAATGAAGACAGTCTGATTGGATTTCTCTGGATTAATCCCTTGAGGAGAGTCCAAGGCGTAAAACTGCCCGAAACACACACATACACACAGACAGACAGACACACAAAGCACTGACAATTACCACCAGTGCTTCTAATGAAACAGTGTGTGTGTGCTCTGCTCCATAAAGCAGGACAGCACTGGTAGAGTGGAATACTAAACACTATAAAAACACCATTTAGCCTCCCAGTAACAAAGCCACTGGGAAGCAAAGTTTCCCTCGTTACTCGCTGCATGCTTAATGAGACCTGCAGTAATAAATGCAAATTTCACTTGATATTTGCCATGTTTTACATG